GTCTTAATCAAAGGTTTAGATATGATCGTCTTAATCAAACGTTTAGATATGATCTTCCTAATCAAACGTTTAGATATGATCTTCCTAATCAAACGTTTAGTTATGATCTTCTAAATATGACCTTCTTAATCTACTTTTAGATATGATCTTTTTAATCTACGTTTAGATTTGACCGTCTTAATCAGATTTGGTCTTCTGAATCAAACGTTAAGATTTGGCCTTCTTAATCAAACGTTTAGAAATGACCTTCCTAATCAAACGTTTAGATTGGACCTTCCTAATCAAACGTTTAGATATGATCTTCTAGTTATGATCTTCTTATTCAAACGTTTAGATATGATCTTCGTAATCAAACGTTTAGATTTGACCGCCTTAATCAGATTTGACCTACCTAATCAAACGTTTAGAGTTGGCCTTCTTAATCAAACGTTAAGATATGACCTTCCTAATCAAACGTTTAGATATGATCTTCTAGATATGACCTTCTTAATCAAACGTTTAGATTTGACCGTCTTAATCAGATTTGACCGTCCTGATCAAACATTTAGATATGACCTTCTTAATCAAACGTTTAGATATGACCGTCTTAATCAGATTTGGTCTTCTGAATCAAACGTTTAGATATGACCTTCTTAATCAAACGTTTAGATATGACCTTCTTAATCAAACGTTTACTTAGGACCTTCTTAATCAAACGTTTAGATTTGACCTTCTTAATCAAACGTTTAGATTGGACCTTCTTAATCAAACGTTTAGATTTGGCCGTCTTAATCAGATTTGACCGTCCTGATTAAACAGTTAGATATGACCTTCTTAATCAAACGTTTAGATATGACCGTCTTAATCAGATTTGGTCTTCTGAATCAAACGTTTAGATATGACCTTCTTAATCAAACGTTTAGATATGACCTTCTTAATCAAACGTTTAGATATGACCGTCTTAATCAGATTTGGCCTTCTGAATCAAACGTTTAGATATGACCGTCTTAATCAAACGTTTAGATTTGACCGTCTTAATCAAACGTTTAGATTTGATCTTCTTAATCAAACGTTTAGATTTGATTTTCTTAATCAAACGTTTAGATTTGACCGTCTTAATCAGATTTGACCGTCTTAATCAAACGTTTAGATAATATGATCTTCCTAATCAAACGTTTAGATTTGATTTTCTTAATCAAACGTTTTGATTTGATTTTCTTAATCAAACGTTTTGATTTGATTTTCTTAATCAAACGT